ATTAGAGGTAATTGTGGTGCTTTAACCGATTACTGATTCAAAACAGAAAATGTTGCCAACACAGCCATTTTGTTGGAACATATTCCCAATTGCATTCCAAAGACAAGAGGTGTGGGAAAAAAATACTTCCAAAGGCAAAAGCAATGTCTTTGTTATTGCAAAGCTTTCTTTCAGTCAGTTTGATATATAAGATATAACAAGAATGGTCATAGACATCAAATGTTTGGGTCAGACAAGGAAGTCTCGTGTTCACAGTAACTGTTGACATCATGACTCTTAGCTTTAACCACTGTGAACTGCCCACCATCTTGCTGGGAGAAGAGATCACAAACAAAATTAGCTGCTTCCCCTTTGATAGGCCTGAGGAACTCCTGGCTAGATTAGAAAGAGTTAAATTGATGAGCTTGTGCGGAGGCGTGTGTAAGCCAAGCCAGAGGAACATGGTGTAGCTCTGGGGATGGTGGTTAAGGTAGAGAGGAACTAAATGCTTTTGTATTTCGGAGAATCCAGCTTCCAGCAAAGCCACCATGACAACAGCTCGTATCAGAAACAGAGTCTTGTGCTGGGACAAAGTTGAAGAGACACACCTTTTCAGTGAGCCGAGCCCTGTGCTTCCCAGCAGCCACACCAGGGAAATGGGGTGTCTCAGAGCCTCGTCACACACTCAAACACCAACAGAATCACATTCTATACAAAATATTAGAAATGGAAAATATCTGCAGGTCAAACCTTCCATTGTACACACTTCAGCTCTCACACTGTACACAGCCCAGGCTAATATACTACACAGCCCAGGCTAATACGCTACACAGCCCATGCTAATACACTGTCCACAGCCCAGGCTAATACACCACACAGCCCAGAATAATACATTGTACACAGCCCAGGCTAATACACTACACAGCCCAGGCTAATACACTGTCCACAGTCCAGGCTAATACACTACACTGTTACACTGTACACATCGCAGACTGATACACTATACACATCCCAGACTGATACACTGTACACAGCCCTGACTGTTACACTGTACACAGCCCTGACTGTTACACTGTACACAGCCCTGACTGTTACACTGTACACAGCCTAGACTGTTACACTGTACACAGCCCAGACTGTTACACTGTACACAGCCCAGACTGTTACACTGTACACAGCCCAGACTGTTACACTGTACACAGCCCTGACTGTTACACTGTACACAGCCTAGACTGTTACACTGTACACAGCCCTGACTGTTACACTGTACACAGCCCTGACTGTTACACTGTACACAGCCCAGACTGTTACACTGTACACAGCCCAGACTGTTACACTGTACACAGCCCAGACTGTTACACTGTACACAGCCCAGGCTGACACACTGTACACAGCCTAGACTGATACACGGTACACAGCCCAGGCTGATACACTGTACACAGCCCAGACTGTTACACTGTACACAGCCCAGGCTGACACACTGTACACAGCCCAGACTGATGCACTGTACACAGCCCAGGCTGATATACTGTACACAGCCCAGACTAATGCACTGTACACAGCCCAGACTGATATACTGTACACAGCCCAGGCTGATACACTGTACATAGGCCAAGCTGACACACTGTACACAGGCCAGGCTGATACACTTTACACAGCCCAGACTGATACACTGTACACAGCCCAGGCTGATACACTGTACACAGGCCAGGCTGACACGCTGTACACAGGCCAGGCTGATACACAGTACACAGGCCAGGCTGATACACTGTATGCAGCCCAGACTGATACACTGTATGCAGCCCAGACTGATACGCTGTACACAACACAGACTGATACACTGTACACAGGCCAGGCTGTTATACTGTACACAGGCCAGGCTGATATACTGTACACAGGCCAGCTGATACACTGTACACAGGCCAGGCTGATATACCGTACACAGGCCAGGCTGATACACTGTGCACAGGCCAGGCTGATACACTGTACACAGGCCAGGCTGATACACTGTACACAGGCCAGGCTGATACACTGTGCACAGGCCAGGCTGATACACCGTACACAGGCCAGGCTGATACACAGTACACAGGCCAGGCTGATATACTGTACCCAGGCCAGGCTGATACACTGTACACAGGCCAGGCTGATACACTGTACACAGGCCAGGCTGATACACTGTACACAGGCCAGGCTGATATACTGTACCCAGGCCAGGCTGATACACTGTACACAGGCCAGGCTGATACACTGTACACAGGCCAGGCTGATACACTGTACACAGCCCAGGCTGATATACCGTACACAGGCCAGGCTGATACACTGTACACAGGCCAGGCTGATACACTGTGCACAGGCCAGGCTGATACACCGTACACAGGCCAGGCTGATACACAGTACACAGGCCAGGCTGATATACTGTACCCAGGCCAGGCTGATACACTGTACACAGGCCAGGCTGATACACTGTACACAGGCCAGGCTGATACACCGTACGCAGGCCAGGCTGATACACTGTACGCAGGCCAGGCTGATACACTGTACGCAGGCCAGGCTGATACACTGTACACAGGCCAGGCTGATACACTGTACACAGGCCAGGCTGATAGCCTCTCCCTTGTTGTGTGACAGGTTAGTGAAATTGGCTGTTTGTTCTCTGAGCTGCTGTAAGGATTACGGTGTGTGATTATGAAGCCCTGTCAGAGCTCTGCACTTGTTTATGCTGTGACTACATTGAGCAACACATGAATGATGTCCTGTTTGTGTTGTCTCCTCCCTGCTGCTGCACTGACGAAAGTCAGGAGGCACCAGGGCTGCCCGGCAGGCTGAGATGATCCTGGAAGATGAGGAGGAAGGGGATGTGTGACAGGCGTGAGGACAGGGAACTTCATGCACTTACACCAGGCTCCATGACCCCATCACCCCCCTCTCCCAGCTACACTGGCTCACCATCCCTCAGAAGGTCAAGTTCAAAATTTGCATTCTCACCTTCAAGACCCTCCATGGCCTTGCCTCCTCCTACCTCTCTGACCTGCTGACATCCTATCAACCCATCTCAGCAGGCACCGGCATGCCCCATGTCTCCTGCCCAACCCATCCCACCATTGGTGGTTGGGCCTTCAGCCTCTCTGCTGCCACCTTCTGGAACTCCATCCCGCACTCCCTTTGCTTCGTTCCCTCCCTTGTCTCCTTCAGGGCACGCCTCAAGACCCTTGGGACATTCCCCCTACATGAAAGGCACTTTACAAATGTAATTTTGTATTGTATTGCATTGTATTGTGTTGTGTTGTATTGTGTTGTATTGTGTTGTGTTGTATTGCATTATGTTGTATTGCATTGTATTGTGTTGTGTTATGTTATGTTGTATTGTGTCATGTTGTAGTGTGTTGTGTTATGTTGTATTGTGTCGTGTTGTGTTGTGCTGTATTGGTATTGTGTCGTGTTGTATTGTGTTGTATTGTGTTCTGTTCTATTGTGTTGTATTGTATTCTGTTGTGTTGTGTTGTATTCTGTTGTGTTGTGTTGTGTTGTGTTGTGTTGTATTACACTAAACCAGGACAGGCTGAGCTGTACCTTCCCGGCCCTTACACTTTTTGATTCAACTTCCTCTTTTTAGTCTTTATCGGAATTTGTGTTCAGAAATGGTAGCTGACACCTCAGAAACAAATCAGCCTGAGTCATGGGGACAGCAAGGCCCAAACAGTAAAGTCGGGAGCAATTCATTCCTGTACCATTAGATCTAATACTGTACATACCTCACTGCAAACAACAGGGAGGTTTGTAACCATTCTTAAGTACTTCATCACATAAACTTCCCCAGAAACAAAGGATCTCCGCACCTCCTTCACACAGGATAACATCTTGGAGATCCTGGCTGAAGGGCACTTTATAAATACAAGTTGTTGTAGTTGTACAGATGGTAGTCAAGGAGATAGGTAATGCACAATGAATGTGTGAAGGGTAAACATTGCCACCAATAAGGATTAGCATTCTCTATTCAATGTTATATTATCGTTTTATAAATCAGCAGTACGTGAAACACTGTAAATGGGAGTAGCAGATAGTAGTTTGTGGAGGAAAGTGTAGCCTGTGTCCTTCCTTATACTTATTCAGAGCTTTGTGAAATGCAAAGTGAGAGAGATGTTCTAAGAGACTCAAACCAAAAGTATGCCTGACTTTCAGTTCCACGTACAGGGTTATTTATATTAATATAATCCTTGCATTTGTTATAGCGCCTTATCCCGCCATTAAGATCGACTTCACAGGATACATTATAAAGTGAATTAATAATAATAAAAATCCTTGCATTTGATATAATGATATGTCGTTGAAACGTCTCAAAGCAATTCACAGCAAGTGAATTGACTGTATATTTGTGGACGAGCAGTGTCCCACAAACAGTCATGGACTGAGTGACCAAATTATTTATTTTTTTTGGAGGGATTATTACCCCCGGAAATTGATCTGCCAATTGACTACCAACTGCGTTCCTACTTACTGCTGGTAAACAGAAGCATGGAGTAAGGAAACTTGACTAAGGTGTCGCCCCACATGAGAATCAAACCTGGGTCCTCTTGATTGCGAGGCGAGTGCTCTAACCACTGAGCTACAGGACTCCACTGGATTGACTGTATTTTGTGGGCTATGTCTGTGCATTTGACCGAATCCAACCATACCCTGGGATTAGACTTACTCCTTTCCTGGAGATCCACAACAATCCCTCCCTACACCGACCTCAGGAGCTCTACCTCAGAAAGGAAAGCTTGCAAATGCCTCTTCAGCCTTGGCCCTGCTCTGCCACAACCCACCCCAGAGAGTAGAGACCTGGAGGAGCCCTAACAGAGAGGTCCTTTATCAGCGGGTTTTTCTCCAGCTGGCAATGGCCGAGTGACTGCCCCAAGTCAGTAGAATCAGGAGGTGGAGCCTGGTGACTGTGTGAACAGAAGTTCCTCTTTCTCAAATAACTAGTATTTTAACCCAGCTGAGCAATTGAGGAAATCCAAGTGAAGGACATTTTCCCGAGCGATCCCTTGCCCTTCCTCACTCAACACTCAGCGGCACAGAGGAGCTTGTGCTCGTGGCCCTGGAACCATTGCCAGCCTCTCAGGAGTATGTTTTTGAGTGTATAAAAGAAGTAGCTTCCAGTCGACAGTGTACCTCACCCTTTGCAAGTCACAGCATGGAAGGTTACCTGATCGCCCCTGTAAGTAGCCTTGCTTTGCTTGACTGCAGCCTCCTCACACCTGGAGTTGGTATTAACGCAGCGCTGTCGCTGTGTGCTTGAATTGCAGTATCAAGAGGATGTGGTTACCTATGGGGCTGAGGTGTGCAGACAGCCCCATGAATACTACTCGTATCTGAGCAGCGATGGGGAGATTCACAGCGGTGAGTTACCAGCCACTATGATTGACAACTTGTCCCCAGGTCACTATTAACATTCACACTCACTCATACCACACCACAGGGCTCACACTCACTCACACCACACCACAGGGCTCACACTCACTCACACCACAAGACAGGGCTCACACTCACTCACACACACACAACAATTTCCATTTATACAGTGTCCTTCATGTCTCAGAGTGCTTACAAAGACTGAATTGGAGCTCAAGCTCGGAGGCAGCTGGGGATTAGAGGGAGGTAACAAAAGCTGGTCAAAGAGTTACATCTTCAGGCAGATTTGAAAGCTGAGAGGGAAGGGGTCAGGTAGAAAGATTCAGGTAGAGCGTTCCAATGGAGGACGAGAGCAAAGTGGCTGAAAGCTCACCCGCTGATGGTGAGGTGGAGGATGAAACAGGACAGAGATGATAAAGTTGAGTCAATGCCTGGGGAGTAAGGATGCAGGAGATTACATCGAGGTACATCGAGTCTCAAGATGACAAAAGCATGATGAGGGTTTCAGGCACTCAGGGTGAGGTAACAGCAAAGAAGGCAGTGTTGTTGAGTGGGTGGATGGGTGGGGGGGTGTGGAGAGCGGTCTTGGTCAGTGCCCGAATGAAAGGTTTAAATTTCAAACAAAACCATGAGATTCCACACAGACTGTTATTTGGAGTGAGCTATTGGGAAGATTGGTATGGCCTGAGCAGGCGCTGACAGCTGAGCTGGATAACCTTGGCTTTGTTGAAACTGAAAAATCAAGACGTACACTCACCTAGTACGTGATATCTGACAGCCGGTGTCCTGGAGTCGAGGATGAAGGCAGAAAAGGTAGAGTTGAGTGTTGTTCGTGAACATGTGGAAATGGACCCCATGTCTGTGGTTGAGTTCTTCAAAGAGAAGCATGTAGATGAGGAAAAGGAGAGGAATGAGGATAGAAACATGAGGAATGCTGCACGTGACCGGATAGCAACAGGACGAAGTGTTTATCAGAGACATGCCTTTAGGTGGTGATCCTGGGAGAGATAACAGCGAAACCAAGAAAACACAGAATTGTGGAGAGGTACCAGGGAAAGCAGGCAACTGAGAGGATAGAGCACTCAACAATATCAAAAATGGTGGAGAGATCAAGGAAGCACAGAAAGCCCTGGTTGCAAACAGAGAGGATATTTGTAACTGTGACCAGGGTTAAGTGATGTGGGAATAGCAGAAATAGCAGAATAGCAGAAAGCAGATTGGAGTTGCTCAAGATGGACAAAGAGAGCTGGGAGACATTTGATTCCCTTGGAGAGGAAGAGCAGGTTGAAGATGGGTGGTAACAGTTGAAGTTGGAATGGTCCAGTGTAGATCTTTTGAGAAAGGTGGGGTGTAATAATAACTGCAGGAATGACAGGTGGGGTACCATGCCAGAGGAAGGGGAGAGGTTAATGATGTCAGCTAGCAACAAGGAGGGATAGTGGGGGTAGAGAAGAGGGGATCGGTAGACAGGAGCTATTTGTGATTGGGGTCAAAGGAGCATGTGATGGGTTTCATGCAAGATATGAGGGAGGAGGGTCAAAGTATGAAAGATGGGGAGAGTGTGTGCAGGGAGAAGGGAAGAGATGAGGGAGAGGAGTGGATGTAGCTGAATGGATTTTGGCCATTTTGGATACCAGAATGACCTGATCAATTCCCATCCGAAGTTGAGCTGAAAATGGAGAGGGCGAGTCAAGGGATTCCAGTGTAGAGTTCCTATTGAGGCCCAAAGAAAAGTGATGGAGGAGTTGGTTATTGGAGGAGAAGAGAAACTCTGGGTTTACTTTTCTCTCTAGGGTGATCCAGAGTAGAAAGAGATGAGACAGTTTGAAGTAAACTGGAGAAGAAACTGAGGGAGGATAGGAGAGAAATTTCAGTGAGAAAGGTAATGGCTTTGTGAGATTGGTAGACAGTGAAGATCTTGAGGGATGGTAGACAGTGAGTTGTGCAAAGCAGTAAGTGCTCAGACCAAGAGGAGATTTGGAAATGAATTGTGCATCACTGGGCTGTGAGGGAATGTGTTTCCTGGAAAAGTGGGCTTGGTGAGAATGAAGGGTCTGCCGGGGGTGAGCCTGGTTTCAGTGAGACCCAGAATGAGATGAGTGGTTGAGAGAGAATTTTATTAATGGTTGTGGAGGTTTTGTTTAGCAAGGGAATGGATGTTTTGGAGGGCATTGCACAGGTAACGGGGATAGCAGGGAGGACAGATCATCACCAGAAAAACATTGTTGAAGATGTGAAAACTAAACCTTAAACTGATCAGCAAATGTGAAAATTGAGATGAACCAAATTGTCAAGCCAGTGTGTGCCAGCCAGACAGCCAGCCAGACAGCCAGACAGACAGACAGATAGCCAGACAGACAGACAGACAGCCAGACAGACAGACAGATAGCCAGACAGACAGACAGATAGCCAGACAGCCAGACAGACAGCCAGTCAGTCAGTCAGACAGACAGACAGCCAGCCAGTGTGTGCCAGTCAGTCAGCCAGCCAGCCAGCCAGTGTGTACCAATCAGTCAGACAGACAGCCAGTGTGTGCCAGCCAGCCAGACAAACAGACAGACAGACAGACAGTGTGTGTCAGCCAGCCAGCCAGCCAGACAGACAGACAGACAGACAGACAGACAGACAGTGTGTGCCAGTCAGTCAGCCAGCCAGTGTGTGCCAGTCAGTCAGCCAGCCAGTGTGTGCCAGCCAGCCAGCCAGCCAGACAGACAGACAGACAGACAGACAGACAGTGTGTGCCAGTCAGTCAGCCAGCCAGTGTGTGCCAGTCAGTCAGCCAGCCAGTGTGTGCCAGCCAGCCAGCCAGCCAGACAGACAGACAGACAGACAGACAGACAGACAGACAGACAGACAGACAGACAGACAGACAGACAGTGTGTGCCAGTCAGTCAGCCAGCCAGTGTGTGCCAGTCAGTCAGCCAGCCAGTGTGTGCCAGCCAGCCAGCCAGCCAGCCAGACAGACAGACAGACAGACAGACAGACAGACAGACAGACAGTGTGTGCCAGTCAGTCAGCCAGCCAGTGTGTGCCAGCCAGCCAGCCAGCCAGTGTGTGCCAGCCAGTCAGCCAGCCAGTGTGTGCCAGCCAGCCAGCCAGCCAGCCAGCCAGACAGACAGACAGACAGACAGACAGACAGACAGACAGACAGACAGACAGTGTGTGCCAGTCAGTCAGACAGACAGCCAGTGTGTGCCAGTCAGTCAGTGTGTGCCGGTCAGTCAGTCAGTCAGTCAGTCAGTCAGTCAGTCTGTCAGTCTGTCAGTGTGTTGCTGCTATGCCAGGGGCTGGAGTGATTTACTGTATATTGTGGTGACTGGGGCCTGATTTGATTCCCACCAGATCATTACTGGGACTACACCAATAGCCACATCCATGGAGACTTCGGAAACTTCCCAGACAATCAGTTCACTGAGTTACAGAGTGTCCAACCTCCCCAACTCCAGCAACTGTACCGTCACATGGAGCAGGAACAGATGCACTGCCTGGACCCTGCTTTACCTGCAACATCGCTCCCCATTGGCACACAGGTACCTTCCCCTGCCCCTCACTGACACCTCCCCATTGGCACACAGGTACGTTCCCTGCCCCTCACTGACACTTCCCCATTGGCACACAGGTACCTTCCCTCCCCTCACTGACAGCCAGGATTCAATTTGATTCTTTTTCAGATTCAGCAAAAACGAACATTTTAAGGTCTTAAAAATGTAGAAATGTGTGGCAGCGGCTGGCGGGCGCATAAGCGAAGCAACAATATATGATAATAATTCATTTTGTGTTTGATTTCACTTCAGAAAGATGCCTCAAAGTACTTTACATAGTTGATTGTCACCTGACATTGTGCAGTGTCACACCAGCTCTGTCCTCGGTCCCCTCCTCTTCACCCTCTATATGCTCCCCCTGTGGTGACATCATCCGCAGACATGGGGTTCACTCCCACATGTACGCGGATGACACCCAACTCTATCTTTCCTCCTCTACCCTCAACTTCACGACCCCCGATGTCCTGACAGCTGTCTGTCCGACATCGAGTCCTGGACGAGAGACAACTTTCTTCAGCTCAACGTGCGCAAAACTGAGGCCCTCCACATTGGCTCACGTCAGCGCCTCCGCACCTCAGGCGCTGACAGCATCAGCTCCGCACTCTCCACCTCTCAAAGCCGTCAGGAACCTCGCGCCCACATCACTCTGCCCTTACACCTTTCTGACCTACTATCCCCCTACCTACGTGCCCGTACCCTCTGTTGCTCTGGCTCCGGTCTGCTCCACATCCCCCGCCCCAACCGCCCGACCATCGGTGGCCATCAGCCTCTCAGCCCCGAGGCTCTGGAACTCCATCCCCAGTGCCTTCGCCGCTTCCTCCCTTTCCTCCTTCAAGGCCGGTCTCAAGACCTTTCTCTTTGACCGAGCCTTCAGCTCCCCTCTCGGCGTGAAAGGCGCTCTATAAATGGAATCTTGTTGTTGTTGTTGTTGTGTGTGCGTGCGTGTGTGAGTTACACCAGCCTGAGCTGTGTGTGCGTGTGTGAGTTACACCAGCCTGAGCTGTGTGTGCGTGTGTGTGTGTCACACCAGCCTGAGCTGTGTGTGCGTGTGTGTGTCACACCAGCCTGAGCTGTGTGTGCGTGTGTGTGTCACACCAGCCTGAGCTGTGTGTGCGTGCGTGTGTGAGTTACACCAGCCTGAGCTGTGTGTGCGTGTGTGTGTGTCACACCAGCCTGAGCTGTGTGTGCGTGTGTGTGTGTCACACCAGCCTGAGCTGTGTGTGCGTGTGTGTGTGTCACACCAGCCTGAGCTGTGTGTGCGTGTGTGTGTGTCACACCAGCCTGAGCTGTGTGTGCGTGCGTGTGTGTCACACCAGCCTGAGCTGTGTGTGTGTGTGTGTGTCACACCAGCCTGAGCTGTGTGTGCGTGTGTGTGTGTCACACGAGCCTGAGCTGTGTGTGCGTGTGTGTGTGTCACACCAGCCTGAGCTGTGTGTGTGTGTGTGTGTCACACCAGCCTGAGCTGTGTGTGCGTGCGTGTGTGAGTTACACCAGCCTGAGCTGTGTGTGCGTGTGTGTGTGTCACACCAGCCTGAGCTGTGTGTGCGTGTGTGTGTGTCACACCAGCCTGAGCTGTGTGTGCGTTTGTGTGTGTCACACCAGCCTGAGCTGTGTGTGCGTGTGTGTGTGTCACACCAGCCTGAGCTGTGTGTGCGTTTGTGTGTGTCACACCAGCCTGAGCTGTGTGTGCGTTTGTGTGTGTCACACCAGCCTGAGCTGTGTGTGCGTTTGTGTGTGTCACACCAGCCTGAGCTGGGGACATTGAAAGGACCTCTGAGAGACAGAGAGAAAGTGAAGCCTATTTAAAGTTCTTTCGTTCTAATGGGATTCATTCAAATCAACTGCAAACTGTTGGGAGTTTTGTAATGTGCAATCGCGACATGTGTGTAAGTCATTTCCTTTTAAACTGAAAATTGCTCAAGGCAGGAAGCCTGTGGTATTGGCAGCAAAGCCCGAGGTATGGTCAGTGGGGCCTGGGTTAAGGTCAGTTGGCCCTGGGTAAGGTCAGTGGTACCTGGGGTAAGGTCAGTGGGGCATGGGGTAAGGGCAGTGAGGCGTGGGGTAAGGGCAGTGAGGCCTGGGGTGAGGTCAATGAGGCCTGGGGTAAGCGCAGTGAGGCCTGGGGTAAGCGCAGTGGGGCCTGGGGTAAGGGCAGTAGGGCCTGAGGTAAGGTCAGTAGGGCCTGGGGTCAGGTCAGTGGGGCCTGGGGTAAGGTAAGTGGGGCCTGGGGTAAGGGCAGTAAGGCCTGGGATAAGGGCAGTGAGGACTGGGGTGAAGGTAGTGGGGCCTGGGGTAAGGGCAGTGGGGCCTGGGGTAAGGGCAGTGGGGCCTGGGGTAAGGGCAGTGAGGCCTGGGGTGAGGTCAATGAGGCCTGGGGTAAGCACAGTGAGGCCTGGGGTAAGCGCAGTGGGGCCTGGGGTAAGGGCAGCGAGGCCTGGGGTGAGGGTAGTGAGGCCAGTGGTGAGGGCAGTGGGGCCTGGGGTAAGGGCAGTGGGGCCTGGTGTAAGGGCAGTGAGCCTGGGGTAAGGGCAGTGAGCCTGGGGTAAGGGCAGTGAGCCTGGGGTAAGGGCAGTGTGGCCTGGGGTAAGGGCACTGAGGCCTGGGGTAAGGGGAGTGAGGCCTGGGGTAAGGGCAGTGGAGCCTGAGGTAAGGGCAGTGAGCCTGGAGTAAGGGCAGTGACACTGGGGTAAGGGTAGTGAGGCCTGGCGTAAGGGCAGTGAGGCCAGGGGTAAGGACAGTGAGGCCTGGGGTAAGGGCAGTGAGGCCTGGGGTAAGGGCAGTGAGGCCTGGGGTAAGGGCAGTGAGCCTGGAGTAAGGGCAGTGGGGCCTGGGGTAAGTGCAAAGGGTCCTGGGGTAAGGGCAGTTGGGCCTGGGGTAAGGGCAGTGGGGCCTGAGGTAAGGGCAGTGGGGCCTGCGGTAAGGGCAGTGAGGCCTGGGGTAAGGGCAGTGGGGCCTGGGGTAAGGGCACGAGCCTGGGGTAAGGGCAGCGAGACTGGGGTAAGGTCAGTGAGACCTGTGTTAAGGGCAGTGGGGCCTGGGGTAAGGGCAGTGGGGCCTGGGGTAAGGGCAGTGGGGCCTGGGGTATGGGCAGTGGGACCTGGGCTAAGGGCAGTGAGCCTGGGGTAAGGGCAGTGGGGCCTGGGGTAAGGGCAGTAGGGCCTGGGGTATGGGCAGTGGGACCTGGGGTAAGGGCAGTGGGGCCTGGGGTAAGGGAAGTGGGGCCTGGGGTATGGGCAGTGGGACCTGGGGTAAGGGCAGTGGGGCCTGGGGTGAGGGCAGTGGGGCCTGGGGTAAGGGAAGTGGGGCCTGAGATAAGGGAAGTGGGGCCTGGGGTAAGGGCAGTGGGGCCTGGGGTAAGGTCAGTGGGAGCTGGGGTAAGGGCTGTGAGGGCGGGGGTAAGGGCAGTGATGCCTGGGGTGCGGGTAGTGAGGCCTGGGGTGAGGGCAGTGGGGCCTGGGGTAAGGGCAGTGGGGCCTGGGGTAAGGGCAGTGGGCCCTGGGGTAAGGGCAGTGGGGCCTGGTGTAAGTGCAGTGGGGCCTGGGATAAGCTCAGTGGGGCCTGGAGTAAGGTCAGTGGGGCTTGGGGTAAGGGCAGTGGGGACTGAGGTAAGGGCAGTGAGGCCTGGGGTAAGGGCAGCGAGCCTGGGGTAAAGGCAGTGGGGCATGGGGTAAGGGCAGTGAGCCTGGTGTAAGGGCAGAGGGGGCTGGGGTAAGGGCAGTAGGGCCTGGGGTAAGGGCAGTGGGGCCTGGGGTAAGGGCAGTGGGGCCTGGGGTAAGGGCACTGAGCCTGGGGTAAGGGCAGTGGGGCCTGGGGTAAGGGCAGTGGGGCCTTGAGTAAGGGCAGTGGGACCTGGGGTAAGGGCGGTGGGGCCTGGGGTAAGGTCAGTGGGGCCTGGGGTAAGGGCTGTGAGGATGGGGGTAAGGGCAGTGAGGCCTGGGGTAAGGGTTGTGAGTAAGGGGGTAAGGGAAGTGAGGCCTGGGGTAAGGGCATTGAGGCTTGGGATAAGCTCAGTGGGGCCTGGAGTAAGGTCAGTGGGGCCTGGGGTAAGGGCAGTGGGGCCTGAGGTAAGGGCAGTGAGGCCTGGGGTAAGGGCAGCGAGCCTGGGGTAAAGGCAGTGGGGCATAGGGTAAGAGCAGTGAGCCTGTGGTAAGGGCAGAGGGGGCTGGGGTAAGGGCAGTAGGGCCTGGGGTAAGGGCAGTGGGGCCTGGGGTAAGGGCAGTGGGGCCTGGGGTAAGGGCACTGAGCCTGGGGTAAGGGCAGTGGGGCCTGGGGTAAGGCCAGTGGGGCCTGGAGTAAGGGAAGTGGGGCCTGGGGTAAGGGCAGTGGGGCCTGGTTTAGGGCAGTGGGACCTGGGGTAAGGGCGGTGGGGCCTGGGGTAAGGGCAGTGGGGCCTGGGGTAAGGGCTGTGAGGATGGGGGTAAGGGAAGTGAGGCCTGGGGTAAGGGCAGTGAGGCCTGGGGTAAGGGCAGTGATGCCTGGGGTGAGGGTAGTGAGGCCTGGGGTGAGGGCAGTGGGGCCTGGGGTAAGGCCAGTGGGGCCTGGGGTAAGGGTTGTGAGAAAGGGGTAAGGGAAGTGAGGCCTGGGGTAAGGGCATTGAGGCTTGGGATAAGCTCAGTGGGGCCTGGAGTAAGGTCAGTGGGGCCTGAGGTAAGCGCAGTGAGGCCTGGGGTAAGGGCAGCGAGCCTGGGGTAAAGGCAGTGGGGCATGGGGTAAGGACAGTGAGCCTGGGGTAAGGGCAGAGGGGGCTGGGGTAAGGGCAGTAGGGCCTGGGGTAAGGGCAGTGGGGCCTGGGGTAAGGGCAGTGGGGCCTGGGGTAAGGGCACTGAGCCTGGGGTAAGGGCAGTGTGGCCTGGGGTAAGGGCAGTGGGGCCTGGAGTAAGGGAAGTGGGGCCTGGGGTAAGGGCAGTGGGGCCTGGTTTAGGGCAGTGGGACCTGGGGTAAGGGCGGTGGGGCCTGGGTAAGGTCAGTGGGGCCTGGGGTAAGGGCTG